TTGGTTAAGTGTCTCACTCTTGATTTCGGCTCAGGTCATCATCTCATGAGATTAAGCCCTGCGTTGGCTCACCGTTGGGCATGGAGCCTGCTCAAGATTCTCTTTCTCTCAGAAAAAAAAAGTGCTTCTGAAATGATTCCCATCACGGTACTAACACTGTTTAACACTCTTTAAATTAACACATACAAAATACAAACTGTGAACATAGTTTAAATTAACAGTGACAACATCTAAACTGTTTTTCAGGGGTGCCTGGGTGGCTCAGATGGTTAAGCATTGTCCTTGGGCTCAGGTCATGATCTCCAGATCCTGGGACTGAGCCCCATGTCAGGCTCCCAGCTCAGCGGGGAGTCTGCCTCTGCCTCTCCCCCTGCTTGTGCTCTCTCTCAAATGAATAAGTAAAATCTTTAAAACAAAACAAAACAAAAACCTGAACTGTTTTCAGTTAGCCAAAATGCTGGAGTCACAACAGGGGAGGAAAGAAACGGGCTTTGCCAAGAACTAGCTATGTGACAGTAAGTCACTCACTTCCCAGGACCTCTATTTTGCCATCCATAACATGGTAGTGTTGGTGGTAATATCTATAGTTCTGTATCCATGGAAACTATATCATGTCTCTCTCCTTCCCTCTGAGCAGAGGAGTTCCTCACGTGCTCCGAAATGTCCTTGTACAGAGTGCAGGGAATATAAGAGCTTCTCCTCTAAGAGTTCCCTGTCCGAATGGACAGGCAAACCCATATGGAAGGATAATGTGAGGGCATAGCATCTTGCCAGGCACCTCAAATTTGTAAGAGGGCATTCGTTGTCCTTTAAGCTCCAGAGACAAGTACTGGTACTTCGAGAACTTTTCAGGGTGGCTGAGCTGTTCAGGCCACTCCTATCTTCTTTGCTGCCATCATCCTAATCCAAACCCTCCCTGAGCCTTGGAGGACTTCTTGCTGGCCTCTCTGCTTCCATTCTTGCCTTCCTAGAATCCATTCTCTACACAGCAACCCAGAATGATCAAAAAGTACTAACTTTTCTGTTTAAAATCCTCTAATCATATTTGTAAGCCCCACAGAAGACAATCCAATCTCCTTTCCGCCGCTTAGGTAGCTCTGGGCAAGCTCCTGTTTACTTCTCTGACCTCCTTTGTATCACACCCCTCCAGACGCACCTGGATACCAACCCTTATCTTATTCCTTGAATTTATTCCTTATCTTCTCCCAGGGCAGAGCTTATTTTCGCCTCAGGCCTTTGCACTAGTTGCAACCTGTCCTGAATCCTTTCCTGAAGTCTACATAGGGGTTGACGCCTTCAGGCCTTACTCTAAGGGTCACTTTTCAGAGACGTCTACAGGACTTTTGGCAGCCCTCTCCCATTATGGTCTTTCATATCCCATCCAGTTCATTCTCAGAACTTAGGTCATTTCAGAACTTAGTTATGTTCTTTCTCAGAAACTATCTTATTACTTATTTGATTGCACACCATTGCTTCTGTCCCCCAAGCAGAAGTCGGGGCTTCCTTGGTAGTTTACTGCTGTACAGCACCCTGAATTGGGCCCAGGAGGTATGCAATATACTGCTGACCTATCATACCCACTACACACTTCCTCTTTTTACCAAAAGTCCAGTTGAGAAATCCATGTTTACTGTGGATTGCCTGAAAAAGTTGTACTTCATCCACTCTTCTACGACCTAAGTATTCTTGAGACAAATTAACAACAAAAGTCTTGCTCTGAATGAAGGCAGAGCAGCAGAAGTATTCAGCTAAACCACCTATTGGCTTTAGGATGCCTTTCTAAATTGTGATTTAGCCTTCTCTGACCTAGTCAGAGATGTGCTAGGAAACAGCCCTATGATCAACGGTGCTGTTAAGAGGTTAAGGATATGACACTAGCTTTTCTTTATGGGGACCCTAGAGACAACTTTATCTCTAGTGTTTTAATCAGAAAGAATTGCTTGTACTGTGTATCTAACATTGCCTTCTCTCCTGTACACAATAGCCACAGTGGACTAGGTCCTGCCCCTTGGTATGAACTAGGAGAGAAACAAGAGTCACTTCTGGCTGCCTAATGCACCAGATTTTACCCACTGCATTTTGAGGATCACCCCACTTCTAGCTACCTCATTTTCTTTCCTCTCAATGCTCTTTTTGCCCTGTTTTCTCATGCATTTATTTTTTATGGTTTCACATTATGGTGAGCTGCCTTAAGTATTTTCTGGAATATGTCATTTAAGTAAATTAAGTATTAAGTGCTACAACAGTAATATGCATAAAATAACAGGGTTAATAATGAAAGAGCAACTGTTTCTAGAAATGAGATGAATACTTGAGGTGAGTCTTGAAGAAATAGCAGTTGCCAGCCAGGCAAGGGCAATCTGTGCAAATACAGAGATGAAGAAGGCACAGCCCTAATGAAAGGAAAATGAAGGAGAGATGAGTAAACCAATTCTTTTTTTTTTTTTTTTTTTAGTATTTATTTATTTATTTGACAGAGCTCAGAAGTAGGCAGAGAGAGAGAGAGAGAGAGAGAGAGAGGAGGAAGCAGGCTCCCTGCTGAGCAGAGAGTCCGATGTGGGGCTCGATCCCAGGACTCTGAGATCATGACCTGAGCTGAACACAGAGGCTTTAACCCACTGAGCCACCCAGGCGCCCCGAGTAAACCAATTCTTACATTTAATAGTATCTGCTGAACATTACTGCATGTCGGACTCAATGCAAAGCATGACAACTTTTATTGCATTTAAAATCTCCAAACTGCCTTATGAGATAGATTTTATTATTATCCCCATTTATAAAGAATGAAACTGAGGCTCAAAGAGATTAATTAATCTACACAAGATCAGACAGCTTGTAAGGGGCAGAGCGGGCACTCCTGTGACCTCTAACATCCACTCAACCGCTTAAGTCCTGACATTCTACCTCAGTCTACTTCTCTGTATGCCACTTTTGTCTGGGTTCCCATGATCTCTTACTAGGACTAGGGCAGCAGTAACCGAGAGACTGGATGCACAGTAATAAGGGGCAAGAACTCTGGAGCCAGACTGCCTGGTTTTCAGCTCAGGCTCTATACCTTACTAACTGCACAAACTTGGACAAGTTGCTTAACCTCCTCGTGTCCCAGTTTCACCTGTAAACTGGAGTTAATAATTAGAACACTTCTTGACACATGATGAATACATGTTAGAGACCACTGAACTCCTCTCTTCCCTTCCCCTCATCATTCTTCACATAGTACATAGAGTGTGGTGGTGGTTTTTGTTTTCTTGTTTTTAATGTAATTCTGATCACACAACACCAATGTTAAAAACTGATTCCCACTGCCCTCAGAAATCTCTGGAAATAACTTTTTAAATTTTAGAAAATATTTATCAACTTTGAGTTTTTCCAACATTTGGGGGCCTTTGCACAAGTGGTTCCCCACCTGGAACACCAGTCCAAATACAACTATTTATTCCTCAAAAACGGGATTAACAGTAACTGTCTTAGGGAAGCTGATCTTTGAGAATGCATAAGCAATCTTTGTTACATGATCCCACAGTCCCCAACCTTGTACTTCCCTGCAGTAGCATTTGCCACTTGTAAAACTAATTATCCAACGTGTCCTTCCACCAGACTGCAACCCAAGAGGGGAGAAAAGGTCTTGCCTGTTGGTTCTGGACTGTAATCCCAAGGACTAGCCTAGACAGGATAAATAAAACTGGAATGAAACAAAGCTGTAATTTCCCATGAAGTTCCTGGACCTTTAAGAGACTCCCACTTCATTACCTGTTATCACAAATTTAAGCCTATCTTTTTTTTTTTTTTCCCATTGCAGGCCCTTTAATGTGGAGCTCCTGTCCATCCCCAACTTTTCAGAAATGATCTCTCCACAGGCATCACCCCTTACTGGCGACCTTCTCCTCTTCAAATACAGCAGCCCTAGACATCCCCTTCCCTGATGTTAAAAGACTTCCTTCCTCCTTAACCTAATACCTTCTTAGGTTCTCCCTCCAGTTGCCCATCATGCCTGTCCACCTTCCTCACCGGGGCACCCTATTTTATCTCTGCTCTCAATCCGCAGATCATCCCGTAGGTTTCTGCACACATGGGTCCACCTGCCTTAAACTATCCTCACACAACGTTCCACAAACCCCATCTCTGCCTGCCCACCCTCCTCCCATTCCTGCCAACAAACCACCGTCCCCAACACATATACACAGACAAATCTCTTATTGTCTTATATACCCCAGGTGGCCTCATCCCTACACTGGGTCCTCCTAACCCACCCACCCCCATGCACACTGCACACTCTCTGCCCTCCAGATACCCCACATCTATCCTTTTTAGATATTGTCCTTAACTCTCTCTTCCTACCTCCAGTCCGGGGCTAGTTCTCAGGCCTCACTGCGATCCACACCACTGTCTGGGGGGCCCTTCCCAACCTGCCCAGAAGAATCCTCCAGGTGTCACCCTGTGTACGCTGACACCCTTAGCACCCGCGTCTTGGAAGCTCTCCCTTCGTCCGGGCCTGGCCCCAAACTTCCACCCCATCCCTAAAGTTCCCACACCCTCCAGGCCACCCTCCAGACCTCGGACCACCGGGGCAGGGTCTCCATCTCTCCCCCCCGCCCCTTCGCCACTCCTCGGACTCCATATTCTCACCAAGTGCTCCCTCATCACAAACGCGAATGGCCTGGACCCCTTCCCGGTACCACCCGCCCACGCACCGCTGCCCACCCCCCGCACGTGTGCTCCCAGCCCCCCGACCATCCTCCCAGCACACCCTCTGCAAGCCAGGCGCGGCCTCCGAAGAGCGGGCCGAGAGCCCGAGGGGCTCCCAAGGGGAGCAGGGGGCCGGGGGGGAGGCCCGAAGGACCCGGGGAGAAGCGTCCGCGAAAGGCCGGCTCCCCGCGGGGTCCGATCGCAGAGGCCGAGGAGCTCCCGGAAGGGGCCGGGGAGGCCGGGGGGCTCGGAGGAGGTCGGGGCGGCCGAGGGGCTCGGGGGAACGGGCGCGGGTGGCGGCGAGCGGGCCTCACCGTCAGTCACGGCTCCCATGGCGTGCGCGGCGGCGGCGGCGGCGGCGGCGGCGGCGGCGCAAGCTGAGGCGGCGGTTGGCGGCGGCGGCGGAGGTCAAACTCCCACAATGCAGCCGGGTAAACAGCCATGGAGGAGGAGGCGGCGGCGCCCGCGGCCGCCCGCTCCGACGCCTGAGCCGCGCTGCGCCGCCGCCGCCGCCGCCGCCGCGGAATCCGCGCTCCCCGCGCTCTCCGCGCTCCCCACACTGCCCGGGGGCGGCCGCGGCCGGCGCGTGTGGGGGGCGAGGCCAGCGGGCGGCGGCGGCCCCGGCTGCAGCCCGGGCCCCCGCCGCCCCCCCTCCCGCCCCCGCCCGGCCCACGCCCAGAGGCCGCCCCGGAGGCCGCCGCCGGCCGCCAGGTGAGCTCGCCCGGCCGCCGCCGGGGTTGCGGGGGCTGCGGGCCTCCGGGCTGCGGGTCCTCCGCGCCTTCCCGGGGAAGGGGACCGTGGTCCCCGTCGCCGCATCCCAGCTGGCTCAACTGGGGGTGGGCTCATTCCCGGGGTTGGGGGGGTTGGGGAGGACGGCGGGGACGCCCGGACCGGCTGACCCGGGAGGCGCTCAGGACAAGGGGCACTGAGGGGGCGCGGTGCTAGGGTCCCTGCGAAGTTGGCGCCCACGCGCACCCGGGCGGGTCTCGAACGCCACCACTTGCGCCGGGCGCGGTCTGCGAGCCTCAAAGGCCCCGGGTTCCAGGTCGCGCGGTTCCGGCCCTTGGGGCCGTCCCCTTCCCTCCCTGGCTCTGGCGGGTGTTCGGCGAGGGGGACGAGAAAGTTGGAGACCTCCCGCAGGAGTTGTCGGAGCGACCTGAGAGCGCGGTGCCCGCCGATCCCCCGGGACGCCGGGAGCCCGTCGGTGATCTGGATGGGGTGCTTTATTTATTTTTTTCCTCTTCGATTTTCAAGGAAAAAAAAAAAAAAGGCTATGTGATTGTCCCCATCTTAAGGGGAAGTTGAAAGTGAAGGGGGGGGAAGGGGGGGTTGGTGCTGAAGGAGTAACGTTGCCCTGTGTGTAGAGTTACACATTTCCGGAGCACAGTGTAGATCATAGTGGCATCTCTTCCCAAAAGTCACTTTGATTCAACTTCGATGAGTTTCTCGTAAATGGCAACATAATAGGTGGTGAGAGGCGAGAGGAAACAAGAACCAGTACAGCTGATTTGATCTCCAGTGGGATAGATTGAGTTAGCCCGAAGACGCGCGTCTGAATTTTAACCCAGGTTTGGTAATTTGTTGAACATAAAGTTATTTTCCAGCTTTCCTTTCTCCCCTCTACCCGCCCCCCCTCCAGTACCCTGACTCTTCACATCCGGGCTGAAGCAGTTACGTGGGTTGGATTTGGTTCTTTCTGGTTCCTTGCGAAACTTGGGTTCATTCTCTCAGTTTTCTCTTAGGTCTTTCAAAGAGGAAAGAGTTGTAAATGCGAATGGATGGCAGTGAAATGTGTTTAACTTCTAACTAGATATCGGTATATTATATGTAAAACTTTTTTCACATGTATGAAGTCGAAACTCCAGTAATGTTCTTAAAGAATTAGCACCGTTGATTTTTGGCACAAAGGCAAAAAAACCCAAAAAATTACTTTGAGTGAAGATTCTGAGTTATAATTTGACCTCCCCAAGGGTGTGAAGCCCTCTCTGGCCTAAAATAATACTGGCTTAAAACTCTGTGTGTGCATGGGCATCAGGCCCGGTTCATTTTCTTGGTTTTAGGAGAGAAAATACTCTAACCAAAGGGAGACTTACTTTAAATCTTAGGTCGTACACACTGTAAATTGGAAGTGTCCATTGATTATCTATATATCCCAACTGCATTTTGGTGGGGATGGTTGTTTAAAAGATAATCGTCAAGGGGTGAAATGATGCTCTGTGTAAACTACTTGTTACTTCACCTTATCATATAATGATTTTTTGAAACAGTATCTAGTGATTTAAAATAATCTTTAGTGTTGTTTATAGCAGAGTATCACTACCCCTTGTAACTGTTAAATTTTCATGAGACATTCTCTCTCATATTCATAGATGGAGTTCTGGACAAAAACTTTTATATGTTCATTTTGTAACTTAAAAATATGGTGGACAACGCAAGAAATTTTGTAAAGCAGTAAGAACAAGAGAGATCTGAAAGTTTAAAGTTTGAGATATACCTAAAAAAATAAACATTTCTGAAAGTTCTTGATCCAAGTGGTTCGAAACACATCCAAATTTGAGCCTTTGTGAAATTTTTAAAAATCTGCTTTGCCAACTACTTAATTTAACTTGCAGCTGCATTGACAAAGATCTGTGTGTTGAACATTTAAGAATTAATTGACTTTTCTTCATATCATGTAGTAAAATGACATGTTTTAGTAAATTTTAGTAGTCTTTTTTCATATAATTATATCTTAATATGTTTGTGATTGTTAAACTAGGAAAGGACTCAAGCCTTATGCCATACTAATGTTTCTTTCATTTATAGGAAAATCTTTAGGCAGAAAGAAGTAGCAGATTCTGAGCTGTAACAAAATGGATTTGGACTTTGAACTTACATAATCTTAGATTGGGTGATTTTATTTGTCATTAGATTGTTGGTTTCTTGGAGACTATGGGAGTCTAGTTACAGAAATTTGAGTGTTTATTTAATATTAGCCTTTTGAAATGATAAAGGATGATGAGAGAGCTGGCTCTAATGTCTTTACCCTGGTCCTATGAAATGATGTAGACATTTCTTGCAGTATGTTTTTAGAGCAAATATTGTTCTGGTGTCTTTGGACCTCTAAGGGGTCCATGAATGGGCTTCGAGAGAATCCTGAACTCTGTAGTTGTGACCAAACTTTTTTGTGTATATGTGTCTTTCTAGGAAAAAAGTCTGTGGTTGTGTTATAAAAGAGGTCTAGAGTCCCAAAATGTTAGAGTTATGTTCTTATTGAATAAAATGGGAGTTAGAATAATCCTTAAAGGGAAGAAAAAAGGAAATACATATCTTTGTGCCCAGTGTTTGCTGTTTAAAGTTGTCTTTAGCCTAGACATGTGGTCTTAGAGGTGCAAAAACGCTTCCATTTTGTTGCCACAGCAAAGCATTGCCTGTTAGTTGATAAACCATATACACACATAAAGGGCTTGACATGCTAGTCCTGGGTGCATTGTGGCTGTTTTTAAATTTAAAAAATTTAGAGCAGATAGATTGATGGTTGATAAGCAGAGATTTGAACTTGAGAACCAGCCCTTGGAGAAAATGGTTCACCCTGTGCCACTCTCTTACGGCTCTCCAACAAATCTGAAATGTGACTGGGAAGTAATCATTCTGAGAAAATGTGTTTTTGCCTTGGCCAAACAGCAGCGCATGGTGGGAAGAAGTTTCTCTTCAAAACAGACTCAAGTTCAAATCTGGCTTCTTTCATTCACTGTAGCCACTTAACTTACCTGACCCTCCCAATTCCTCATCTGGATAAAGCCTGTGGCAGTAGAGGCGTAAGGAGCAGGAATGAAGTTTCCTGTGTAAGAAAACCTGTCAACTCCTCATTTGGCCCATATTAAGGACTTGGGAGCTAGATGTGATAACCACTAATCAACACAGGAATTAACATGTATAAACATGGTACATAGTAATGATACATATTAGTTCCCAAATAATAATGGAACTATTAACAAATTGAAACATTTTTTAAAGATTAGGTTTTCAAAAATGAGTTAGGATTAAGTGGTCCTTACTTTGTAGATATCCGGGGGAAAGTTGAAGGAAGATGGTGATGCATTTGGTAAAGGTGAAGACATGGGTACTGGGCAGGAAGAGATAGTAGCAGCCCGCCAGTATCTTAGCTGCGTCTTTGTATAAGATTCCATTTAACTTTTGCTCTTCACTTGTAATTTAAATGAAAAATTTAAACTAAAAAACTGTACTTGTACTTTCCAGCCCGTTGTCTCTGAAAGTGTTGACTCACCTCCTTGTGTTGGGGACCCTCATAGGTACTCCCAGGACTTCATTAGTGGAAGCTACCTGTAACTTTGTCTAATTCTGGCATCTTTGAAATGCCTCCGCAGTTGGGTGCCTGTATCGATTTTTTTTCTCAACAGGGAAAAGAGTCTGGAAGAACTGAATTGTATTTTCCTATCTTTAAGCATTGAAAGAAGAGAAGGTATTACGAGTAAGAAGAGAGATATGAATAACATACTTGTTATGTTTACGGCTATAAGAGCAAACTTGTTTCCACTGTTTCTGTGGTCTTCTTTTTCCCTTTCATTTATTCGTGGTGACCATTCATTCCTACTGCCTTTGAGTGAGGTAGTGGTGTGAACACAAGCTCTTACTAGGTTTGACTCCCATTTCCTAAGCTTTCTGGTTGTGCTCAGCTTGAGCCAGCCAGCCTGAGTCTGGAGGAGGTGAGCATTAGATGAGATAATAAAAGCAAAAGACTTTGCTTAATCCTAGGCCCCTAGTGTAAATGCTTAAAAGTGGTAGCTGGGGCGCCTGTGTGGCTCAGTGGGTTAAAGCCTCTGCCTTCGGCTCAGGTCATGATCCCAGGGTCTTGGGATCAAGCCCTGCATCAGGCTCTCTGCTCAGCAGGCAGCCTGCTTCCCTTCCTCTCTCTCTGCCTGCCTCTCTGCCTACTTGTGATCTCTGCCTGTCAAATAAATAAATAAAATCTTAAAAAAAAAAAAGTGGTAGCCATCTTAAGGATGGTTTCTTTCTTGTCTTTTTTGAAGGAAAAGCTAGTATATTCTTTGGGAATATTCCCATAAAAACCTTTAGGGATCACCCTGCTTTCAACCCATAAAAGCCTTTCACATCTTTCTTGTTACCATGGGCAGGTAGCCCAGCATCTGCAGGACCTATGAGACGTGTCTGCTGTTCTTGGCAGTGGGGTGGTGTTCTCTGTTAGGCTGGCAGGTTATGTCTAAATCCTGACTTTTTCGGGAGGGGGGGCAAACCAACAAGTGTGCACAGGTTTGGAGCCATGATCCATTCAAAAACTACATGATTTTTTGGCCTAGAACAGAGATCAGCAAACTTTCTGAAAGGACACCATAGTAAATATTTTCAGTTTTTCAGCATCCCCCCCATCTCTCTGTTGCACCTGTGCAACCCTACCACTGTATTTAGAAAGCAGCCAGAGACATAAGCCAATGTCCATGGCTATGTTCCACCAAAGCTTTTTGGACACTGACACTTAAATTTCATGTAATTTTTATGTGCCATGAAGTAAGTTTTTATTTGTTTGAACCATTTGAAAATGTTAAAGCTCTTCTGGGCCGGTGATGTGTACAGCCAGCAGATGGATTTGATCATAGGCCATAGTTGGCTGACCTCTTCCCTGGAAGAATGTTAAACTCCTAAGTCCTGTAGGTCTGTGGCTTCACCAAGCTCTAGCACCCCACCCCCCCCCC